ATTTTTTCTTGCTTAAAATTACCATAAAAGGAAAATTTTTAACAAAACGGACGCGATCAGGAGAGAGTTTTTTTTATTTTAAAAAAAGAAGATAAAAATATATTAATTTTAATATAATATTGTATATAAAAAACAATAATTTTTATTATAATATTTTTTGTAATTTATTTGTAAAAATTTGAATTTGTATTATGAATAAAAAATTTTTTTAATTTTTGAAAATATATATATATAATTATAAAATAAAATTTTGTAAATAAAAATTTATAAAATAAACTGTTAAAAAAATTATTTTATAAGATAAATGTATTCTATATTATTAATAAATTATTGTTTTATTTAAAAAATATTAATAATATTTAATTTTGCAAGCAAATTTGCCTGCAAACCAATTTAAGGGATAATATTTTGAAAATCACAATAAGAAAAAATAAGAAAAAATAGTAATTAATATCTGTTTGTAATAAAAATTATTAAAATTATAAATAAATCAATTTTTCTAATACTTAATTTAATTAGAAAAACTACAATGTATTTATTAGAATGTTAGATAATTCAAATAAAAATATTTTTTAACTCGATATTTTTAATAAGCAAAAATTTAAAAATTTACAATTACATATTTTTTAATTAAATTGGTTGAAAAATATTTATAATTTTTAAAAGGAATATTTCAGACAAAAATTATAACTTAAATAGCAATATACAAAAAAATTCTTTTAGCGTTCATGAACAAATGATTTGTCGCGACTTAATTAATAATTAAGGGACCAACTAATTCAAACAACCCCTTTGTGCATCATAAATAAAAGTCGTACGAAGTGACGTTATAATTTTACAAAAGGATTTTCACTTCGAGAATTGACCGACGTTTTATACAAAAAAAAATTGGAATGCAACAACTGATATATATATAATATGTATTTAAAATGGTAACAAGGGGTTTTAAAATGTCGAGATTCCATAATTATAAAGTACATATATTAAATAATACACATTGTAAGCAATAATAATAAACCTAATTTAATGATATTAAGAAAGTATCAATGAAGATATTATGGAATAAGGATGATATTGTAATCATGTTGGAACTAGTTGTTAAGTGATTTGGCTTTAGCTCCAATGTGTGTAAACAGCAGGCTGATGCACATTGGTTAATAGTTCAATGGGCACATCTTCGTTGTCACTTAACGACTCATTCTTTTTTTTCCATTCATTAGCATCTTGAATATTCCAACTTCCATCAGATCTCTTTTTTCCAACGCGAATTGTTCTCGCTTCGCATTCACCTGCCCGTTCATTATCATCACTATCGCTATCATCGTCATCGTCGTACTCGTTAAGCAACCTATTTCAAGTTATAGGATGTTAATATTTATAATAATATATACAGTATATGTGCACATTACATACCATCCAATAGTCCAATCAAATATAGCCGAAAGCAAGGATGCCTTGGGGGACCAAGAGGGCATAGGAAATAGTGGTCTTGTGTTATACATAATCGGCAAGCATCCACGAGATTTTTTACGCTTGCTCTTGGCGGCATCAGTATCTTCGACCTGTGTGGCAGGTTCCTTTCCATCATCGTTTATAACTACTCGTCCTATTCTTTTCTTTCCTCTTAAAGTGGCCTTCTTCCTACGTTTTTCTGACATTGCCAAGAATACTTCAGACATGTATACGCTCCATGCTAGTCCAGTCCTCTTAAGATGTTCCACGTTTTGATCCTCTTTCTCGATTAATGTCGATATCAGTGTTTTCGGACTTGAAATATTTAATTTATCTTCTAATATAGAAAAGCATCTGGTTAGCCTTTCTTTGATTTTTTCCTTTTTGTTAGCATGTTCATCGTCCTCTTTGATTAATGAATCATAATCCTCAAGCCATTCCTCATTCCTGTGATGTATTAATGTAGCCAATATGATCCCATCATTCATCCCAGTAAAATCCTCCACGGGATACGAGGAAGATGGTAAAATTGCAGCGTATTCAATGAGTTGCATGTTGACCCAAAAAAGTATACCAGAAGAAGAGCTCATAGGAGTAGAATGATCTAATCTGAGGGTTCTAAATCTCGCCGGTGGTGCCTGAATTTTTTTGTTGTTCGATCCACCAAGAAAACTTCCCGGAGGAAGTGATAGACGTTTATCCGCAACGGCCTTTTGAGACTCAGCCGATAGGCGTGACGGAAGAACACGCTTAGAATTAATTTGAGGCAGGAACCTTTTCTTATCACCTGTGATCATAGGTTCCGTTGGATTTCGGTTTTGTATTTCCTGTTGAGTCTGCTTAATTTCCGTTGATACATCATCATACTTTTCAGGATATGACTCATAAGAGGACTCTTGATCATGATGTCCAAAGTCCTGATAAGAATCAACAGGAGAAACATGATGTTCCTGATGAGAGTTAAATGAAGAATCTTGCTCATGCAAAAGTAAGTTGTGCTCCTCGTATTCCATGGGCGAATCTAGATGATGAGAGTCAGCGGGTTCATCCGAGAAATTAGTGATAACTGTAACTGGTGCTCCCTTAACAAGATCATCTAACCAATTGTGAGCATGTTCACTTTCTTTGGTTGTTTTGTCTGTTGGACTAGAATTAGCTTCAACTTCAGCAGTCATCGCTTCTTCACTCATCGTTTCAAAAATGCTGACCATTTGGCGAAACTTTGAGATCATCAACCAAATTAAACCTAATGTTAATTTAACATTGCCGTCAACAATGTCCACAGGTCCTATTGCTTGCAAAGCTGCTAAGGCCGAATCATCAAGTCTTGTTTGCAAAAATTGAAGGACTTTGTTAACATTTGCAACATAATGGTGTCTTGTTCTACCACGTTCTGGTTTTGGCAATTCAGGATCATTTTCAAATAAGACATGAAGCAATTGAATTAGTCTTTTCCCGTCTCTGAAATCACGATCAATTGCTTTAATTTCTGGAATTTTTTGAGACGTTTCTTCATCCACATGAATCGTACGTAATTGAATGTTGACCCATTTCGTAAAAGTAGCCTTTTGGGCTTCGGTATACCTATCGGAGGAAGTGGAATAATATCGGTTCTTTACATTAACAACTTTTGTTGTCGTGTCCCACTGTCCGATCAGCGAGTTCCGACGACGTGGTTGGTTTGGTGATGGTGGTTGTGGTTGTGGTGGCATCGTTAAAAAAAAATACGTATTAATAATGGTGGGTGTGTAGTGTGAGGAGAAATTTTAGAAGATCATACATTCATTATATATGTGTATGTATGTGTATATATATACAATTATTGTGTTCTACAATTTTTGATCCCTAACCCCTTCTTGATCTCGTGTAACCGACTCCGAAGTGCGACCATCCCCTGCCCTGAGAAATTCAATTTACCAGAAATTTCACGACCTTAACAATTTCCGAACTTTATCACATACACAATAAAGTATGATACCACCTTTTTAAGTATCACTACATAACCTACATACTTTTATTACCCTTCTACATTTGAGGTCAACCGAGATGTCCGCCGTCCTTCAAACCGCTTCCTCTGCGATAACACCTTTTTTTACTTCTTTAGCTTCAGGTGATGATTCACCGAATTCGACTAGTTCCACAACAGGGAATACCATTAAGCCTGTTTTTGTAAATGAATCTTGTTTGGAATTCCTTATCATGGAGATGGCGGACTTGATGTTTCGTACGACAGCCGATTCAGAGAATGATAAAGAAGCCGTATTCTACAAATTGGAGATGTTAGGTTATCAAGTTGGCCAAAGTTTAGTTGAAAGGTAGGATAGTTTCTGAGTGGTTATATGTCTTGGACGATTATTGTGAAAAGGGTTTATATAGTGTATTTGAGTTGATTTTTTTGTCATCCTATTGTTGTTCGATCGTGAATCAAACCTTTAAAATTATTTAACAGATTTACGAGAGATCGACCACGTTTTGTCGATACATTGGACGTGGTCAAATTTATTTGCAAAGAATTCTGGACCATAATCTTTAAAAAACAAATCGATAATTTGAAGACTAATCATAGAGTAATCATTCTCAAATACTTTATTCTTTTTTACTCAATTTTCAAAAGTTGAATTCAACCTGTTCCTTGGTAGGGTGTATATGTGTTACAAGATAACAACTTTAGATGGTTTCTCAGAATGTCAACTGAAACTGGAAGTGCTGACGCCGCGAAGAGAGCTATTGCCGTAAGAAATAATTGATCTTCCGGTATTCTTACTAAGATGCGTATTATTTATCTAAAAATCATTTTATCTAGTATTTTTGGTTTCCATGTGGGTTGATTAGAGGTGCTCTGGCTAATTTGGGCGTGGTCAGCGTAGTAGTTGCCGAAACAACCTCCTTGCCACAATGTATGATATATCCGTTCTTTTTACCTATTTTCGTTGATCTATTTCCAAAATTATTGACACTTCTATTGATCCACAGGCACATTCCAAATAAAGATTGCAAAATCATAGGAGCTGGATAAAAATTCAACTTGTAAAAAACCAATTAATCCTTTGAATTAAAAATTAATTTCACAAAGTCTCTACAGCTTCGTGAAATATCCCTTTTTTATATATATTTATTTATTTATTTACTTTTGTAATGAAAAATAATATTGAAAAAAAAACAAAAAATGATTACATTGATGCGAGGATTGAAAAGGAAACAATCATAGAAATGCAAATTGATCAGTCAACATGGATTGCAATTTCGTCTATGATTAAATAATGAAAGGAATCAATAAAAATCCTAAAAAAACGATACAAAATACAAAATACAAACTTTAGAATCACCGTGGCGCTAACAATATGTTTTATGTAACTTTCTTTGATTTTTTTGTTTTGTTGAGAAGTGATTTGTTAATGTGCTAAGATACGCGACAACAGAGAAGAAAGAATATTTGAATTATTTATTGTGATCACGTCGAGTGTAGTTAGCAAGAATAATGAATTTTACCGGCAAAACACCACCACCAGCGATTGTGGCACGAATTAGCGTGTCTAGCTCTTCATCACCGCGAATGGCCAATTGTAAGTGACGTGGGGTGATACGTTTAACTTTTAGATCTTTAGACGCATTTCCCGCTAATTCGAGGACTTCGGCTGTAAGGTATTCTAGAATAGCTGCCGAATAAACGGCGGCCTTAGCTCCAACACGCGCGTTATTCAGAGTTCGTTTTTTCAGGTATCTATGAATACGACCAACCGGAAACTAAGTGGCAGATAACAAATTATATTTTAAGTACTAATTTCCTTCGACCACAGCAATAAGTTTTTTTTTTATTATACGCAAGTTCTCAGAAGCATTATGTGTCCAACAAGATATGTATAAAAAACGACACGAAAGGTGAAAAAATTAAGAAGCCAACGATAACTTTACTTGTAAACCAGCCCTCTGTGATCTGGACACGATAGGGGGTCTATCTTTCTCTTGGTTTTTTTGTTGGTGGTTTGCATTATCCGCAGTACCATTCTCTTGTGTGTTGCTTTGTTTTCCAGTAGCCTATTGATTTTATTTATTGTGTAATTTAAACAGTATAATGTATACGACAAAGATTAGTACTGTTTAAGTAATTTCACGGTTGTTTACTTTCTAATTGAAGCATAAAACGCGACCGAGGTTCAAAGATGGGTGGTTATGACATTGTAAATACTGTTAGTTTTTGCAAATAGCGTGGTTTGTTTTTTTTAAAAAAAAAATTTTGATTAATTACTAGAATTTATTGAGTGGTTTTTTATTTTGAAGCAAATGATGGGGTGTGTTGTATTATGAGCTAATAGTAACTTGTCCACGTGACATAAACTTGCGAGATATATTACTGTGATGAGCACATACCATAATCAAAAAAAAAAAAAGTAATATCGGATATCGGTTAAAACCCCAAAAAATATCAGAAAAGAATCTCTTTCTCGAATATGAACGACTGGTGATGGGTTAAAAGGAAACCGCGAAAAAGAAACCAACGATTTTTTTTAAAAAGAGATAAAACTGGAAAGAGGAAAGAGTTGGTACATAAATTTACGAAATTGTGTGGATTGAAGTTGATTTTATGCTGATCCGATGATTGACCCGGGATTTTATAGGGTTTTACAAATTTATCCCTCGTATTCATGTAAATTTGACGATTTTGGATGTGCTGACTAGTGCCAACCAGTTAACCGTGATCAGCAGTGACACTCTTTCCAAATTTAGTGGTTAATCTTGAGTTTATATTTATTTTTTAAACGATTTATACGTAATTTATTTGACTAAAGATATACAACTTTAATAGCTTGCAAAGTTACAATATATGTTACTTTTTAAATTAAAAATTCAAATCGATTTAAACCAATTATTAATTAATAAATAAAATAATGTTTATTTATTTATTATTCTAAAATAATATACAGTATATGCTTAAAATATAAAACAAATTTTTTTTAAAAAATATTAAAAAAAAATAATTATGTAATCAAAAAATTAAATTATAAATATAAAATTAAATTATAAAATTAAAAAGTAACAATATTTTTTATTAATTTTTGTTTTTTCTGATAGGTAAACATTATTTTTTTATTTATAGTATTATACTTAAAGTTATATACACTAGTGAAAGAAATAATATTTCTTGTATATAACATATATAATAAGTTAAATGCTAGCTTGTTTATATATTTATATCTAGTTAATATTGAAAAAAATTTTTAAAACAATATTATATATACTAAATATAATTAAATAGTAGTTATATTTACTTATTCAGAATTTTTTAATTAGATATATAAAAAATAAAAATAAAAATAAAATTGTATTAAACAAATAAAAAATATAAAAAAAACTAATTATATAATAAAGAAAGTTTATTGAGTATACCATTCTGATAACTTCATTTCTTTGGAATATATAATAATATATTTTATGAATAGTCAGACTACTTTTCAAAATATATAATAATATTGATAACATAGATTTTTAATAATTAATAAAATATAATGATAATAATTAATTATTAATAATAGTAGTAATAGATTTATTATTAATTATTTAATAATTGATTAAATGAGAGACTATATTAAACAAATATAAGATATAATAAAAACTAATTATAAAATAAAGGAGGCTTATTAGGATAATAAACTCTTTCCACTGATCCTTTTGCCAACCCAAAAAACAGACGTTCTCAAAAGATTTTTGTCTTTATGATAATAAAGTCTATACACTTT